AAATTTTTAAAAATTAGCTGGGTATGGTGGCATGAGCCTATAGTCCCAGCTACTCTGGAGGCTGAGGCAGGAGGATCGCTTGAGCCCAGGGGTTTGAGGCTGCAGTGAGCTATGATCAGGCCACTGCAATCTAGCCTGCATGACAAAGTGAGACTTTGTCTCAAAAAGAAAAAAAAAAGGCAGGTGCTTAACCAGAGGGCTGGGGTTAAGGAACCAGACCCTGTAGCTCAAGGGTGAAAGAGAGGGAGGGGCTGCTGGGCAGAGGCAGCGCGGGCCTTAGTGGGGGGCGTCTTCCAGCCACTGGTGAGGACGGCTTCGTCCTCCATCCTCGACTTGGTGGGGAGACACCTGAGAAGTGTCCCAACACCCACGTAGTCTCAGTCTCCCTAGGAAAGATAGAGGTTTTCTGCTGACTCCCGTGGGGGTTGAGCTGGAGGTCTGAGGTTTATTTTGGTGGCTGAGGGGCCTGAAGAGGAAACCGAGGGTCAGTGAGCCCCTATGAATTGGGGACACACCACCTCCCACCAGGCAGCCCCAGGGCCCAGGACTTCGGCTCTTCTAGCTGCCCAGCTCAGGTGGGAAGGGATAAGGAGGGACATTTCCCTGGGATGGGACCCCAGGAAGCTGCCTCCTCCTCTGAGTCTCCAAGGACTCAGCTTGGACTCGGCTTGGCCCAAAGTCAGAGCCAAGAGAGCGCTGTAAGGGGGAGGGGCCCTTGGGGCCAATGGCCAAGGACTGCAGGGTGGTGGTTCCCCTCTGCACTGCGGGTGGGGAGGGGAGAGCAAGAAGGCTGGTGTATGGACAGGGAAGGTGGTGGGCAAGAAGGGCCAGGCTGGGCTTCGGCTTATTGCAGGGAAAAGCAGGGCAGGGGGTACCCAGGGCCTGTCCCTCATCTGTGCTTTGGGGGAACATCTCCCCTGGGCACCTGCAGAGCAGTCAGATGGCCCTGGCCCTGTTCTGGAAACTGCTGGCAGGGGGCAGTTCAGCCCAAGGCCTCTGCCAGCCACAATTCTAACCCCCTCCACCTCCCTCATGCCCCCAGGTCAGCCCCAAAGGCCTGGCTGCGGGCCTGTCCACTTCTGCAGGAAACATTAAAGCCCTGAAACACCGATCTCACTGAGCTCCACTTCCGCGTGGCTCCCACAGCGGCCAAGGTCGCCTACAGGGCATTAGCACCCAGAGATGGCAGGCGGCCGGGTGCCCGGCGGCTGAGAGGCTGGGCCAGGGCGGGAGGCTCCCAGGAGGGCTCAGACACAGCCCTGTGCTCAACCCATACACTATGAACACCCTTTACACACCCACCTCCCGGCACAGTCTTGGGTGCACACATACCGCAAACATGCCCGACTGTCACATCGTCATTAATAATGGTAACGCACACCTCCACTTACGCCAAGTACTGGCTTAAGCATATTATAAGGATTAACTCGACCAATCTTTCCAACAGCCCTACGAGGTGAGTACGACTATCATCCCGTTTTACAGATGGGCAACTGAGGCCCAGAGAGGTTAAGTGATATGCCCTGGGTCACGTGTCTGTGACTGGCAGGGCTGGGATTTGAACTCAGGCTGCCCAGCTCCACAGTCCCTGCCGTTGCACACTGTGCTGGGTGCTTCCACGGCACCCGCACCCAGAAGAGACACTGAGCCCCTGAACCCCAAGTCGCGCACCACCTGGGCGCCCTGCTTTCGCTCCACTCTCAGCCTCCTCCTTGTGGGCTGCAGCTGCCTTTATCCCTGCACAGGAGAGGAGGGGCGGGAAGGACCTAGCCCTGAGCCCCTCTCAGGACTCCCCCAAGCCCTCTATCCACCCACCCCGCCCCTGGGCCGCCCTGGGGAACTGCCTGCTGCCAGCTGCAGGTGAACTCGAAAAACTAGGTTTAATTGGGCCCCACAGGGCATAAAAGAAAACAGCAGAAAAAAGGTGGGGAGTGGTCCAGCTGGTGTCCCTGAACCTGTGCCAAGACACTGGAAGGAGGAGATGAAGGAGAAAGGGCCTTGGTTTGTGCATCTGTAAAATGGGGACATGACGGTCCTTTCCTTACGCCGGGCATTGTGAGCGCCAGGCAGCTGTGCCCGAGGAGCTCCAGGCACAGGCCGGGGGTGGGCAGAACTGCCGGAGATGAGCCATGTCCTCCCCGCCAGCACGCTGGCCCTTCTTCCAGGGAAGGGGCATGGTCCCCATTCTCCAGAAGAGACAGTGGACGCTGAGAGGGCAAAGGACAAAGTTCCCAGACGATGAGGGAAGAGCCAGCACCTGGCTCTGGGCGAGGTCAGGCTGCAGGAGCTGCTCCTCCGCGCTCCCCGCTGCGCCCGAGCTGTTTGTCTGGGCGGGGTCCCCAGGGTCCCTCCCGAGGCCCTGGAGCTGCCTCAGATAAACAAGCCCGGGCCCAGCCGCAATTAAGCCGGATGCGCTAACGAGGCGGCTCATTAACTTTGCTCGTCCTGAGACACCGCGCGGCCGGGTCCAGCTCGCGGTGCGGCGCCCGGAAGGGGCTGGAAGACCCGGTTCCGCCCCGCATCGATTCTGCCATTTGTATCTAGGTGGCCTCCACTTGCTCTTCTGTGAAGTGGGTCCTAGAGTTTGCGGCGGCCTCGTGGGGTGGCCCTGGGAGGCGGGCCTAGGGAGCGGACGGACGCTGAGGCCCAGGCGGAGGCGGCCACTGCTCGCGGGTCCGAAGGCGCGTGGGGGACCGAGCTGGAGGCGCGGGCGGGGTGCGGGCTTCCCGGTCGGCCCGGCTGGGGCCGCGGTTCCTGCCCCGGCGGACGGATCCGCCTCCCGGAGCTGGGAGCAGCAGGGCGGGCTGGGCGCGCCCCCTGCCGGCCGCCCCGCTTCCCGCCAGGGTCGGGGCGGGCTGCAGTCCTCCTCTGCGCCTCAGTTTCCCCAGATATGAAACAAACTCCGGGCGGGAGTGATGGGAGCGGCCGCAGGCCGCGGGGGTTAAGCGCGGTGGCTGGTCCTAACGCAGCCGAGGGGCCTTCTCGAGATGGGGAGTGCTCAGCCATGGGCCTCAGCCTGTGCTGTAAGGCGGGTCAGTCGCGCCTGACCCCTCAGGGACGCGGGGGCCCACGGCTCACCCCCTCCCCCGCAGTGGACGGCTGCATTCACCGGGCCGCCGGACCCCTGCTCACCGACGAGTGCCGGACCCTGCAGAGCTGCGAGACCGGCAAGGCCAAGATCACCGGCGGCTATAAGCTGCCAGCCAAATGTGAGTCCCGACACGCCCGCCGCCGTGGGGCGCATGCAGGACGCCTGTAATTGGGGCATTAGGGGTGCGGTCCCCCAGAGTTGCTGGGGCCCTCCTCAGGGGGCATTTCTTAACCTTAAGTGCCAGGACCAGGCGCCTCCTCGCACACCCCCAAAGCGGACGGGGGCGGGCGGGAGTGCCCTGAAGCGAGACGAGGAGCCCAGGGAGCGCCCCCGTCCCCCGACTCGCGCCCCTGCTCCCAGCATGCGGGGAGGGGCGCGCGCGCTGCCTGCGTGCAGCCGGCTGTGGGCATGCGGGCCGGTGCCCACACGGGTGGGTGGGGTCCTTCCTGGGGGAGTCTCAGAACTTGGGAGAAGGCGGTTTCCTGCTCCTCTAGCGAGGAGACCGCGTAGACACCCAAGCCGGTCTGACCCCCTCGCCACCCCGCAGACGTCATTCACACGGTGGGGCCCATCGCCCATGGAGAGCCCAGCGCCAGCCAGGCCGCTGAGCTCCGCAGCTGCTACCAGAGCAGCCTGGACCTGCTGCTGGAGCACCGGCTCCGCTCTGCGGTGAGGGGCGCCGGAGGAGGGGGGGGCCGGCGGGAGGGAGGGAGGCGCGGCGCGGTGACGACGTCCCCAATGCCCTTTACCCCTCGCCCCTGCCCTAGGCGTTCCCCTGCATCTCCACCGGCGTGTTTGGTGAGTGGGACAGGGAAAAGGAACAAGAGCCAGGGGCTGGCAGGGGGGGCCCAGACGCCGGGAGGGGCCGGGTGCCCGCACAGGCGGGGGCGGGGCCAGAGCCGGGGACTCCCTCGCTCACTCCCGCCCCGCCCCCAGGCTACCCCAACGAGGCGGCGGCCGAGGTCGTACTGGCCACGCTGCGCGAGTGGCTGGAACAGCACAAGGACAAGGTGGGCCTGGGCCCGGTCAAGGCTGGGGTTTGAATCCGGGCTTGGCAGACCAGCCGCTCAGCCATCGCCCGGAGCAAGGGTGCGGGGCGTAGGGCCCCTCCTTCCCTGCTTCTGGGCAAGGGCGCCGGGCGGTGGAGAGAAGCGAGTGGCCCTCTGTGAGGGGTGCAGGGTGAGGCAGGTGCGAACCTGCAGGGGTGGGCTGTGGAGGCTGCGGCACAGGCTGAGCAGTCCCCTGCGCAGGTGGATCGGCTGATCATCTGCGTGTTCCTTGAGAAGGACGAGAACATCTACCGCCACCTGCTCCCCCGCTACTTCCCCGTGGGTACGTGACCGCGCCCCCCACGCGCGTGCCCATCGGCCAGCCCCGTCCCCGCCCCCTCCTCCCTGGGCCAGGCGCTCACTGTCCTCTGCCTTCCAGCCTGAGGCTCCCGCAGCCCACCCTGACCAGGACTGGTAAGCAGGGCCTGGCCCGCGGAGTGGCTGCCCTAGACTAACCTGCCCACTAACACACCCGCTCACCCAGACGAAGGGCGAGGGAAGCCGGGGAGGCAGCCTGGGAGGCCAGGGGACCCCACAGCAACCTCTGATCTCCGCTCTCTGCCCTCAGACCCGCCTGCGGGACCTCGCTCCCAGCTCTGAGAAGTTGCCAAAGCCTGCAGCCCGGCCTGGCCACCATGTCTTTTGTCCTTTCCCACAGCCCCCTGCCCCCCAGGAGCCTAATAAAGATCACTTTGCGGCAGCTCCTACTGTCTGAGCTCTGACTGGCTGGAGCCTGGGGTGAGGGAGGGGGCTCAGAGGTGTGTTGGCTGGAGCCCTTGGGCAGGTGCTTTGGCTGAAAGGGGCTGGCAAGAGCTCTTGGTGAGCAGGCGGGTGGAGGCACGGGCCAGACGGCAGAGGCAGCAGCAGCACTTCCGTTTATTGAGGGCTGCCCCAAGGAGCTCACAGCCTGGGGGCTGAGACCCTGCATGTGCTGGGGGGAAGAAAAGAGGTGAAGGCAGAAAGGCAGGCAATGCAGAGACACCATAGCCCAAGCAAAGGGGGTGCAAAGCAGGCACAGGCAGGGGGCTAGGGGTGGGGCAAGACTGGGGACCTGCAAGCCCTGCCTAAATAGGCCTGAGGATGAGCACAGGTTTGAAGGCTACCCCACCAGGCTGGCACCACCTGGGGGTGCACAGTGGGTGCCCCAGCTCCTCTACCTGCCCTGAGCCAGGCCCTAGCATCGCATGGACTCCATGCAGACCCCTGGGTGGAGGGCAAGAAGCTGGGGTCTGGGGTCCTGGCCAGGACAACACAGGAGGCGGGGCCTATGACGGAACAGCTGGAAGGGTGGGTACCCCTGGCACCTGGACAAGTCCCCAGGAACTTCCATGATCCCATGGAATCCCCTGGGCCAGCTAAAGAGGGAAGGGGGAGGCCGTAAGGAACGAAAGCACAACTCCAAGGAACCAGGAGGGGTCCCCAAGAGGCCTGGACCCCTCAAAACTCCTGGTGGGGAAGCTTGGGGACGGGCAGGTGAAAGGCTGGGGGACCCACCTGGGGGTAAGGGGACAGCCAGACACAGAGCAGCCAGGCGGGCAGGCAGCAGCAGAGCAGGGACACGCACACACGCGGCTCACCACCAGCATCCCCTTTAATAAAACACGGGAGGTCGTGTGACAGGAAGAAGGGGGTGAAATATAACCATTTACAACCACAAAAAACCTCTCTATACATGTCTAGCGCCTGGCAGAAGGGAGGGCAGGCAGGGCAGCGGCAGGCCGGGCCGGCCCTATTTGTAGAGGATGTCGTAGTGTCCAGGCCGGTAGAGAAGGTAGACCTTGGGCTCGGAGCCCTCGGGGAAGACGTGCGGGTTGGTGGTGCCGCCCTCACCTCGGTCCATGTACTCCACCTGGATGGACACGCTGAGGGCCTGGGCCAGCGCGATGATGTGGATGTGGTCGCTCTCCTTGCACATGGGCTCCACCTCCTGCGGCACAGGCGCAGGTCAGGCTGGGCCTCGGTGCCCCTCCCAGGCCACACCGAGCCCCGACGCACCCCCAGCCCCAGAGCTCACCACCCTGAGGCAAGAGGAAAAAAGGGAGGGCCCAAGGCGGAGACGGGGGGAGGGGTGGCACCTGCTGGCAGAACTCCTTGACAGTCCGGCCGCCCTCGATGAAGTGCTCGAAGAACTTGCTCTCCCGCTGCAGGTAGCCTGAGGTGAGCAGCCGCAGGTAGACCACCAGGTAGTCTGAGGTGCTCTGGTCGTTGAAGGAGGCCAGCAGGTCGGCTACTGAGGTCTGCTTCTCCACCTGCTCGATCAGGTCCATGAACTGTGCCCGAGGAGGGACAGGGGCAAGATGAGGGAGGAGAAGGGTCAACCCCACCACAGCCAGGCCAACCACCCTCCACCCCGGCTGAGCCCGACAGGGGCGACAAGGCTCACCGTGTTATGGAAATCCTCAATTGTGAACTCAGTGAAGCCCTGGGACACCAGGTCCTCTTTGCTCTTGGCAGACACAGCCTTAAACCTGTGGGGGACAGGGCAGGAGAGGCCCAGCATGGGCTCCTGGGCCAGCAGAGCAGGGGCCCCCAGAGGCCAGCCCAGGCGCAAGGACGCAGCCACCACTGCCCACCTCAGACAAGGCCAGCTCCCATCCTCGGCTCAGACAGAAGCCCCAAGCAGGAGCCCAGCCTGTCGTCTGGCCTGAGGTGGAACTGTGCCTCCTCTCCACCCAGAAGGAGGAGGGCGCCCTCGCCCACGTCCCGCAGTGCCCGCCTCTCACCGCTGTAACTCCTTGCTGTCATCCAGCAGCGCCTCCAAGTGGGAGAACCCAAAAGCTCGATAGAAGCAGTTGCCGTCGGGCCTGGTCTTCCGGATGTACGAGTACTTTTTGTGGAGGTCCTGCAGAGGGGCAGCACCCCCCACCGCCTGTCAACATCGGCCCAGCCAGGGCTGGCAAGTGCCTCCCACGAAGGTCACCCCACAGCAGGCAGCAGCTGAGCTCCCAGCTCCTGCCACCCGTTGCTCCTGACTCCAGGCTGCGGGATGCGGTGATGAGTCACTCAGTGACCCAATGCCTAAAGTCCCCCAGAAAGCCTCAGGAAGCTGTGCACTTAGTACAGCTGTCTGCACGGGTCCCCAGAGTGCTGCTGGGCCTGCAGGGCTGTTTGTTTATAAAACAGGTGAGTGAATCCGTCCTTGAGCAAGGCAGCTTTTCCAGTCTTTCAACCCAAGAGAACTTCAAGGCAAGCGAGCAAGTCAGGGCAGGGCTGCGGTGCCGGCCCCACCTTGGCCAGGCGTCTGGGGCCCCCTGCACAGCCAGCTCAGCCCGGACCAAGAAGAGTTCTCCCTCCTCTCCTACACCCTGCCCTGCCCACTCACAGGTACATCTCTACGCAACCTTTTCTGGTTTCCCGCAACACAAAATGGAGTGTCTTCAGGCTACTGCACCTCCCACACGAGCCTGCTTCACTCCCCTGGCCTGGGCGCCCCCCTCCCCCAGCCAGTGACCTTGTGTCCTTTTGCACTGAGACTTCCTCAGCGCCCCCAGCACATCCGCCCCCGGCTTCTCTCCCAGTCCTCAGAGGATCTGTCCCAGCTGCCACCCGAGCTGCCCCTCCACTCTGCACCGGCCCAGCCTGTCCCTTCCCTCGGGCTCAAGGACAGGGGCCCAGTAAGCACTCCCCTCTTCCCACATCATCCACTCTCTCCCTCCCGCTTTGGACCCATCGCCACACACACGTACAGCTGGTTCTTGCTCTAAAACTAAAAAGTCACTGACTTCACATTTCTTTCCAGCTACACCCCCCGCCCCCAGTCTGTGCTCTCCTAAAACTCCTCAAAGCAAAGCTCCTCAAAGTTGTCTGCCCTCACTGTCTCCACTTCTCCTCTCCCATGGGAGGCTTGTGCTCTGGCCAAGGTCACCAATGCCCTCCTCGCTTGCGGGGGCAAAGTCCTCAGCAGCAGGGTCACCACTGGCCACGCCCCTACCTGGATACCTCCTCCTGGGCTGGCCCCCCACCCCTTCACCCTACCTCCGAGGCTGCCACCAAACCGCACAGTCCCCTTTCTCACGATCCTGTGTGTCACCTGCCAGAGGACAGTCATGACCCACACCCATGCACAGTGCCTGCCACGTGCCATGCTCAGGCCTGGGACAGCTTCCACTTTTAAACTACACTTGCTCTCTTGCTGACATCGGTCTTGAGAATTTAAACAGCCCCAGATGGAACTTTCAGCCCACAGCTCTGATTGCAGTCCTCACGTCCTCCCTCCCCACACCTGAGCTGTCCCACAGGCACCTCAGCCTAGCACTGCTGACCTGCCAGCCCTGCTCCTGCCCTAGGCTCCCTTCCCCACCTCAGTCACCCGCAGCACTGGCCTTGCTGCTCTTCCCGCCCAGAGCCTTCCAGCCCCGACTTCTCTCCCTCACCGCGTCCCAGCCAACATCCTGGCCGACGGCAGGTCCTTTCAGCTCTACCTTCCGCACACCCAGTGTCCGCACTTCCCGCCCCACCCCTCCACCACCAGGTCCCAGTCACTCCCGCCCTCCTGGCACGTCTCCCGGCTCCCTTGCCTCTTCTGGTCCATGAGACTCAAGCGCCACCTTCTCAGTGGGCTCTGCCAACCACCCTGTTGACAATGGCAAGCCCTTCTGCTCCCAGTCTCCTTTTCCTTCTTTTTTCGCAGCACCTACCACCCCTGACATACCACACATCCTAGTGCCCTCTTCGCCTGTGTCTGTCTGTCCACCCTGACCTGAAAGTTTCACGGGGGCTGGAGGTTAGTGGTTTTAGTCATCACTCTATCTCCAGTACCTGAAACAGCACCGAGACCACGGTATGTGCTCGATAAATGTTAAACCCTTAGCACACCACGAAGAGCCCAAACCACTGTTGCTACTAGAACGGCCACTCTGAGCACTCGCTGTGCGCCAGGCACTTTGCTAAGGGCTAATACCCGTTCTCCCGTTAATCCTCACAGGAGCCCAGCAGGTCTGCCTGGGCTCTGCTGTCACAGCCCTGCCCCTGCCCAGGGAGAAAAGGTGGGCTTGGGCATAGCACACAGAATGGGGGTGTCGGGGCACAGGGGCAGATCCCTGCAGACACCATGCTCTAGTCCTTCGCACATCCACTGGCCGAATGATTCAAGCAGAACCCGAGGCCCCACCCTTTCAATTTTACCGGGGTGGTCTACCATGACAGGTAGGCCTTGAAACGAGGGCCCCACTCCACCAACCCGCCACGTGGGGAGAGCAGGAACCTGCTTACTAAGCCCAGCACCTGACCTGCATCATCTTCAGCCCTCGCCCCTGCCCTGTGAGGTAGAAGACATCACCCAGAAATGAGAAAACAAAGGTGGCTCTAAGAAGTTCAGGGCATTGCCCAAGATCACAAAGCTGGAAGTGAAGCCAGGACTTGAACCCAGGTCTGTTGGGCTGCAAAGCCAGTGCCTTCATCTCTCCACAGGCCTCTTGAGATCACAAACATCCGAGCAAGGGGTTTGAGTAGATCACAGATCACACACAGCTGGATCTGGCCTGCAGGCCCACACAGCTTAAATTTGCATTAGCTGCCAATGTTCTAAGTCAGGAGATCTGGATACTTCTGGCTTCTCTTGGAAAAACAGATCTGGCAAGGATGGAGTGACAGGTATGGACACTCCCATTTGCCCCAGGGGCCTTCACTCCCTACCACGGTCTGGCTGACACTGAGCTGTGGTGTCCTCCTCATTCGCCACCTGGCCACCGTCAATCGCCTGGGTTACCTGCCTGGCTACTCGAAGCCCCCTCCTCCAGGTGTAAGGTTCTAAGCATCTCTGTCCTTTGGGGAGGAGGGTGGGAAAAGTAACATTTACTAAACCCCCACACTGTGCACTGGACAATGTTTATCTGCACCTATTGTCACATTTCAAAGTCCCCAGCTCATAGTCTTAGACAGCGAGTGGTGAAGCACTTGCCTCAATTCGTGTGATGCATCAGGGCCCTGCGCAGAGGTCAGCGGCCCTTATCCCCACTGCTGCCTGCCTCTCCACAAAGATGCAGGAGGGAGGCTGTGGGACACGCCCTTGCAGCAACCCTCCTGCCCCACCCAGCCGGCACCAGCCTGGTCAGCCCATGTGAGCACTGAAGTCATCAGCTCCTGCCCAACCTACACCTGACCTCACACAAGTATCACCTCCCTCAGTCTCCCAACTGCCCTATGGGCAGATGCTTTCGTTATCCCTGTTTCACAGATAAAGACACTCATGGCTCAGAGACACTGAAGGACCTGCCAAGGATACAACTGCTCAGTGGCAGAGTCTAGATTTGAATTGAGGTCCGAGTCCAGAGCCTGCACACTTCAGCCAGCAACGAGGTGTCCCCCAACACCCTATCGTCTCAGAGGACAGGCCCAGCAAGAAGCAGGTCTGAAGCAGGCACCCTCCTGCCCCTACACCCCGGATTCTTCCCGGCCTGAGAAGGCCAGGCTCCCACCTTGATCTTCTGTTGGTAGATGTTGTCATCCTCAGCATACTCCTTGTACAGGACAGAGAGCTCCAGCCGCTCCGACACCAGCGGGTTTTGCACAGCAATCTGCAGGAGGCAGGAACCCATCATGCTCTGGCAGGGAGATGGAGTGACCCACGACTAACAGCCAGAACACCTACAAAAGGGGTGCTGGCCTGGTCACTCAGTGGCACAGTGACCTCCATAACGGCATCCAATACCTTGCGTAACCTGGGGAGAAGTGGCCTTCCAAAGTAGAGACAGACAATAGGCCTCAGGCCCAGCCTAGGAATCTCCAACGGCCTCCCCTGCCCTCTCCAGCGCCTCACCTCTTGCTGAATTCGGTCCTGCTGAGCCATGATGGCTTCATCATAAGCCAGACAGTTGACACCTGAGAAAAGGACAAAAAGCCAGGCATTTCAGTGGGTCTCAGCCATCTCCACTGCAGGCAGCTGGGCCAGGGACAAGAGCAGCCCAGGAGCAGGAGGGCAGGCTTGAAATCTGGAAGCACTTTTCTTACATCCTGCTCCCCTCCAACTGTGTAATCTCGGCGAAGTCCCTTCCCCTTCTTAGCTTTTGTTTCCTCATCCTTAAAATGAGGGGTAGAGGCAATCACCCCCAGACGCACGCACTCTTCCGGCTCTGACACTCCCTTCCTTCCTGCTTTCCAACATTACTTCCCAGCAGCCTGGGAATGCTCTAGGGCCGGGCGGGTCTCTTGGGAAAAGCAAGATGAAGCAGCAGAGTTCTGGGCTTGAGGGGAGCTTTCTGGGAGCCTGCACTTTACTTGATCACCCCCTTCGTCCTCCTGCTGTCCTAGGTATTGTTAGGGGTGCCCATTTTCAAATAACAAAACAAGTGCAGAGAGGTGAAGTCATCTGCCCAAAGTCACAACTAGTAAAGACGGGTGGCCCAACCCAAGTTTGTCTAATACCACTCTGAACTCTTCACCGCAATACCTATCCTCTGCTACCTTACTGAGGAGACCTTTTCTCAACTGTGAAATGGCGTTAATACCACCACTTTCCTTAGAGGTATACCATCAAATAAATGCTCTAGAAGAATCAGTGAGCCTGGCAGGTCCATTCTGTGGACCCCACTAAGAGCGGCCATTGGTGAGGAGCCAGGAGACCTGAATTCTAGTACTGGCTCTTTCTTACATGATCCTGAACAAGTCCCTTCGTGGGGCCTGGGTTTCCCAGCTGTCATTCCTTCAAGTGTGCTGAGAGAATGGGGTGTGTGTGTTGAATGACTTTTAAGGTCAATCCTTTTGGGCCTGGCCATCCTGGATTCTCAGCTGGGTGTTGAGCCATCCCCTACCCTGCTCTGAACAGGGCTGTCCCTCCCACTCAGGTGACCTACTCTGTCCTCAGGGCCCAACTCAGAGGTGGGAAAGGAGAGGGTGGGACCATTTTTGAAAGACCCATGTCCTCAGAAGACTAAGAAAACAATGCCTAGGCAGGCGGAAAGGGGCTGCAAGGCCAGAAGAGGGGGCTCTATCAGAAAAGAAGGGCGCAGCCGTCAGGGGCAGACACCGGCAGCCCTTTACAACCCAGGCTGCCGCGACATCCCGAACAGCTTGTACGGTCCTTTGTGCTATGCAACCTGGTGTAACTCGACGCGGTCCGGGCACGGGCTGCTCTGGACAAGGCAGACGGTTCGGCCCCGGTTTAGGCCTCCGCCTGAATGCAAAGACCCGGCCGGGAGAGCTCTGGGCCCCGGCAGCCGAGTGCTGACGGGCTGGGCGGAGGGCGGGGCGGCCCAGGCCCCGCCCCAGGCGCGCGGGAGGAGGAAGGGCCGTGGGCCAAGGTGGACCTCCGCCCTCCCGCCCGGCCGGGGGTCGCGGCGGCGGCTCCTTCCATTGTGAGGGGGAGGGGAGGTAGCGGAGGTGGGGGAAGGGGCCGTCCACGCGCCCCGGCCGCCCTGCCTCCCCGACCTCTTTGGGAACAGCTGGCCCAGCATCGCCCCCGCTAGCCAGGCCGGGCGTCCCTCCCTCCGTCTGTACCTTCAGAGTCGCTGCCTAGCGGCTCCTGCTTCTGCTGCTGGGGTTCCTCAGCCGCCATCTTTAAACAGCGCCGCACTGCCAACCGCTTCCGGGTTACCAGTTGCCCTCCTCCCGGAAGTGAGCCGCTCCTCGTGGCCCCTCCTCGGCAACACCCCTAGCAACGGGATCCCCTCGGGCGTTGTCAACTAGTGGGCTCCTAGGCCTATCGCGGCCGCAGGCCTCTGCCCGCACCTCCACCCCTCACTCTGGCTTGGCTCCATCTTCCCAGTCCCACAAAGTTCCCGGTGGTGATTGAAAAGCCTCCTGGAGCCCATTCCGTTTTCTGGTCACAGGAGTTTGAAATGTGGGTTGCGTTATTGAAATAAGCAGGAAGACGAAATTAAAATCACCTAAGGCAACATTCCTGCTGCGGGCTCCAGCACGTAGCGCAGGCGATTGTAGCTGCAGTGCGGAGCAGCTTCTGGTGGAGGAGACGGGACGTCATGCCAACGTCGCAATGTCCCCGCAGACCCCGACAGCACCGCCCCTCCCCATTGAGCCTGGCGTTCTGGCTCTGGTGACCTGCTTCCAGCAGAGAACACGCCCTTCAGCGTCAAGGCCAAAGCCTTGCAACCTAACTTTGGGCTCCGTGTCCTTCTGGCTGTGACAAAGCAGAGTTTTTATAAAAGCTAGGACTTAATAGAAAAGGAAAATATCAGTCGTTGCCAGGGGTTGGCGGGGGCTGGAGGGAAGTGGGTGTGGCCATAAAAAGGAAAGGGAAGGATCCTTGTGGAAATGAAAATGTTCCACATCTTAACTGTGTCAATATCAGTAACCTGGTGTGTGCTTTACTATAGGTTTGCAAGATATTACCAGTGGGGGAAACTAAGTAAAGGATACACGGAGGCCGTCCGTGGTGACTGACACCTGTAATCCCAGCACTTTGGGAGACCAAGGCGGGAGGATCGTTTGAGGCCAGGAGTATGAGGTTGCAGTGAGCTATGATGATGCCACTGCACTCTAGCCCCAAAGACAGAGCAAGACCCTGTCTCAAAAAAGAAAAAAAATACACAAGCTCTTTCTCTATAATGTCTTTAAATTGCCCGTGAATTACCTAAAAGTAAAAAGTTTTAAAAAATGGCAAGTTTCTTCATCTATAAAATGGGGAAAAGTAAAAATAAATAAAATAAAAAATGGCAAGGCTGTAGATGCTGAAGATGCTGCCATTTAAGAGAAGTTATAGTCTGGGGCTCTGGTTCCCAACTTCTCACTATCAAGGGCCCTTTTTATGACAGTGGTTCTTTTGCACTCAAGGAGGCTGTGCCTCAGTCCCAGTCAGATTCCTTGGTTCGTGAAAGGACAGGAGTAGAATATGACCGAACGTTTTCATTAGCGAGCACCAGTCCCAGAGCAGGTGTCGGTGCCTGGACTCCCCACACACAGCCCACCTTGGCCTTCCCACAGCAAGGCTATGCATGCCACACCTGTGTCCCAGCAACATTACAAACTACTATTCATTGAGTCATTGGACCTTTGGGGTTGCTTCGAAACTCAAGAAAACAAAAGGCCCACCCTATGTGGACCCAGTTTGCCTATCCAACTGTTCATTCCTTTTCCCAGTTTTAACTTTTGTGACTTTTCCCAGTCACAAAGGTGACAGGCAGCAGCCATAGTACCAGCATGGCACAGATGCCTTCTCACATGCAGTCCTGCCAGACTGGAGTATGTCCATGGATTCTGGCAGGTGGAGGAAGAAGAGGAGACCCCACAATGGGACCCAGGACTGTGAAACCTCAGCCACAGAGGAAGAGTTTACATAACAGCCCAGAGACCCTAAGGGGCCACATGGCTTCCAGGCCCACCCAACTTCTGCCTCTCAAGGAAGGGGGCCAGGCTGGGTGGACCAAGGCAACAGGGACCTGGCACAGGCCCTGGGACAGCCAAAATCCTCACAGGAAGGCATGGGCAGCTGAAAGCCTCAAATGGTGGGCCAAGATGGGACCTAGGTGACCATTCCTGGGGCAGGCTTGGGAGTCACACAGCTGCCCAGATGTCAGTAGGGGCATGCCCAGCCGCAGAATGAACCTCTGGCGCTGCCACTGCACTGCATCCATGATGGTCCACAGGCAGCAGCCCTGAAATCATGGTCTAGGGAGGCTTTGACAGCTGCGGAGGCTGGGCTCATGACGCTGAGCAGGATCTGGACTTCAGGGCTGTCAGCTGGGTTGAATCACTTACAGGGGTCAGGCCACCTAAGGCAGAAAGCAAGCAGAGGAGGGGGAGAGGCAGAGGCGACAAAGGGAGAGGCCCTCCAACAAAGTCACACCGCCCACACTCCTCGTTGGGGTACTCACTGTCCTGCAAATGCCTTATTTTCGGTCCACTTTATGTCTGCAGAAGGTCCGACCAGCTGGTGCCAGCCGCTCCCGCGAGAGCACCAGAAAGCAGCATTGCTTCCCTTACCACGGCCGTAACAAATCACAAACCCGATGGCTTAAAACAACACAAATTTATTATCTTACAGTTCAGGAGGTCAGAAGTCTGGGTGTCACCGGGCTAAAATCAAGGCTTCAGCAGGCTGCATCCCTCTCCGAAGGGTCTAAGGGAGAATCTGCTTCCTCCTCAGCTAGGTTGACAGAATTCAGTTCCTTGCAGCTGTAGGATGGAGGTCCCATGTTCTTGCTGGCTGTTAACTGAGCGCCGTCCCCGGTTCCTAGATGCCACTGCATTCCTTGGCTCATGGCCCACATCCCCCATCCTCAAAGCCCGCAGCGGCAAGCCAAGTCTTTCTCAGGTTGGGACTTGGGTGATTACACTGGGCCCACTCAGATAATCCAGGATAATTTCCCATTTCAAGGTCCTTAACCTTAGTTATATCTGCAAAGTCTGCTTCACCACGTAAGATATAGTCACACATGCCAGGCAGTAGGGCACAGACATCTTTGGGGGACCATTATTCTGCCTGCCACATCATCTTCATTTTACAACCCTGAAAACTGAGGCTCAGAGAGACCAGATGACTTGCCCAAGGTCATATAGTAAATGGCTGAGCCAGGCCTCAAGCCCAAGCGTCCCAACCCCCAGTCCACTGTTCCTGACATTATAGCCTCCGCCATGACCGCAGCCTCCCCCTCCTGGCATGCCTGCCAGGCAGACCCCATAGACAGAGTCCAAAGAGCCTGCTTTCTCCATGAGGAATTGCTCCAGTGCCTCTGACTTGGTTGGGGGTGAGGGAAGGCCAGTGAAAGGTGATCAGATTTCAGGCCTAGTGGCCATACTGAGGACCAAGGAGTTCGGGGTTCAAACACAACATGTCACTCGAACTCTAAACTCTCCTGCCCACCCCGAAGTACATCTACGCACCACAACTCCCACATATGCCACAGGACCTGGCAGGCTGTGGGAGAAAGGGGCTGGAGGAGCTGTTGGCTTGCTAAGGGCCTCCTCAGACCAGGGCCCTAAAGGACTTACCCGTAGCCACTGGCTTCCCACTGGTGGGAGCAGTGGCCCAAGACACAGAACTCTGGGCTGGAGCAGACTCCCCGGGGCAGGGACCATTACCCACCCCTTTGAGCTCCAGGGGCTCACAAATGGGAGACGCCCAATCAAACGCTTGGCAGGGCAATGGGGTTGCCATAGAAACTCAAGACAACTTTCCTTGTCTGGTAACTTGTCCTTGCTGTGTGGCAGCCCCATGGCTAGGAGGCCAATGCTCATCTGTGCCCTCAGCCCAAGGAAAGCAGCCCTGAGCCAACCAAGGGCCAAGCAGCTCGGGGCCCTCTGCTCAGGAAGTGGCGGCTTGGTCAGAATGGCCCAGGCACCCACTCCGCTCTGCCCACTGCAGGCTGTGCAGCGTCCCCCCAGGAAGGCCAGGACACAGGCCTGGGAGGAAGGGCAGTGGGCACTCAGCCACCACTACCCCCAGGGCCAATGTGAACAGGAAAGTGTCCCAGAGCGAGGCATGGAACAAGGGGTGACCCTGTTGCAGGGGGGCCCCTCCACCCAGACAAGGATCTTCTTAGATACCTGTAGGCGGCAGGTGGATTCCCCTAGCTCAGCACCCTAGCTTGGCTCAGGCCAGTCCCTCCACGTCCAACACGGGCTCTCTCCTTCCCCAGCTGAGAGCCCAACCTGTGCACACCTCACAGGCTGTGTGCTTTTCTGGCCCCACTCTGGGCAACAGGCTAAGGCAGCTTCTCCCCAGCCCTCCTACCAGGCTATGTCCTTTTAGCCTCAGACACAAAGGCCAGTTTGTGTGGAAGGAAATGAGCCATCTAGGAGACAGAAAACCACTTCCTACTTGCTCCTCACGGAAGCAGCCATGGCAGGAGCTGAACTTGCTATGGTGTCCAGGCACTGGGTCCCTAGGCATCACTGGACACCACACTGAAAGGCCAAAAAAGACTAGACAAAGGCAGGAGAGCAGGGTCCACATTCAGCTGTCAACAGAAACCAGGAAACAAGAGCCAGCAGAAAAGGATCTGAGAAGACATGAGCTCCAACACCCAGGGCCTAAGGCCAACCAGCCCCTGCAGCTCTCACCCCAAACCTGGCCCAACGGTCCGGCCCCAAGCAACCCGGCAACCCCAAAACAAAAGGAAAACCGAAACCGCAACCATTCAGAAATCCACCAAGTCACCCCAGCAAAGAAGATGCAGAGAAGAGGCAAAGCCATGTCTTCCTCCAGGGATGGGGTGCTGCAGAGCTGAGTGTTCCTTCCGGACATAGGCAGTCAGGATTCCAGCTTGGCGTGCAGTGCTTCTCAAGCACCATCCCCGCCGAGACACCTCCAGCTCCTCAGATACCACCAGAATCACTGAGGAAGGGCCCGTGCAAGGAGAGTAGTGGCAGATTCCCCATGTCAAGAAAAGGAAGGAAAAGGGAAGCAGAGAGAATGAGGACCTGTCAGTCTGCAAACATGTAGAGAGAGAGCACAGCAAGGAAAGGGGCCCTGGAGTTGACATTAAATAAAGCAGGAAAGGCCAGGTGTGGTGGCTCACACCCGTAATCCCAACACTTCGGGAGGCCCGAGGTGGGAGGATCTTTTAAGGCCAGGAGAGGGGCAGGCCTGTAGTCTCAGCTACCCAGGAGGATCACTTGAGCTCAGGAGTTTGAGGCTG